GAGGGGGAGGGGAAGAGGAGGGGGAGGGGAAGAGGAGAAGAGAGAGGAGGGGGAAGAGGGGAGGGAAGTGAGGAAGGAGGAGGGGCCCAGGAAGCTAAAGGCAGCCAGGAGGTGGCAGCATCGCCCAGGGACAGACAAGGGGCTGCCTGGAACCCCAGGCAGCAATGGGGACCTGGGCCCCAAGGCCCTGCCTCAAGGCAGGAGCCTAAGGGGCCAGGCCCGGCTCCGCCCCACCCCACCCACCCCTGCAGCCCAGCAAGGGGCTTCCAGGTCTGGGCCTGCCTAAGGCAAAGCCACGGAGGGAGGTCTGCCCACAGGTGCGAGGGGTGGTGTGGCAGACCCAGTGTGGATTGTCCAGGGCTTCTGGGGCAGGGACGGGGCGTCTTGGGGTGGCCCCACTGCCTCCTGAGGACGCTGTCGTGTCTCCCGGGGGGCCAGGAGAACACCCCGGTTCACTACCCAGAGGACAACGGTGACAGCCAGGGCTCCCTCTGCCCCCTGGACAGCAACCAGTCACACTTCATCCTCGTGGGGCCCGGCGCCCACGGGGCGGAGGACGGATCCACAGAGCTGCGGCTGCGGCTGGAGAAACACATCTCAGAGCAGAGGATGGGCTACGGAGGTGAGGCTCTGTGGGGACCCGGAGAAGGACCGGGGCCGGGAGAGGGCCTGCCAGGCAGCCGTGTCCCTGAGTCCAGATCACAGGCCCCTGGCCTCCTGCAGCTCCCAGGCCACGGGGTCCTGGGTCGGAGCTCCCAGCCCAGCAGAATGCCAAGAAACCATTTTCCTCCACCCATCTGGAGGCATGCTGCCACCAGGGGGCAGTGCTGCCCAAAGAATGGGAGCAACTCTGGCCCCAGGCGGGTGGGAAAGATTGATTGACTGGAAAATTCCAGCAAACTATATTCAGGAGCTCTGGTAGTAGCACTTCCATAGTGATACTGCCTCGGAAACCCAAGGAGGGGTCGCTATGAGTCGGGTCTGACTCAACGGCACATAACAACAACAACAACTGGTAGTAGCACAGTGCCTAAGGCATCTGTTAACCACAAGGTTGGTGGTTCAAACCCCCCAGCCACTCTGTGGAAACAAGACTGGTGGATCTACTTTTATAAACATTTACTGCCTCAGAAACCCAATGGGGTGACTAGGAGTTGGAATCTATTCGATGGCAGTAGGTTTTTCTGGTTTTGGTGGTGCAGCCGTTGAGCACACAGCTGCTAAGAGAAAAGCTAGTGATTCTAACTCACCCAATGGTTCTGTGGAGAAAGACTGGGCCGTCTGCTCTGGGAAAGACTGTCGTTAGGTGCTGTCAAGTCGGCGCCGACTCACAGGGCCCCACGTACAGAAGAACCAGACACTGCCGGGCCCTGCGCCAGCCTCACGACCCCTGCTGCACCTGAGCCCATCGTCGCAGCCACGGTGTCCGTCCATCTCGTTGAGGGCCTTCCCCTCCTTTCTCGACCCTCCACCTTACCAAGCATGACATCCTTCTCCAGGGAATGGTCCCTTCTGACAACATGACCAAAGTAGGTGAGACCAAGTCTGGCCATTCTTGCTTCCAAGGAGCGTTCCGGCTGCACTTCCTCCAGGACAGATCTGTTAGTTCTTTTAGCAGCCCATGGTACTTTCAGCATTCTTCGCCAGCACCACAACTCAAAAGCATCAACTCTTCTTCGGTCTTCCTTATTCATTGAACAGCTCTCACATGCATACGAGGCGATTGAAAATACCATGGCTTGGGTCAGTCACACCTTAGTCTTCATGGGGATATTGTTGCTTTAAAGAGGTCTTTTGCAGCAGATTTGCCCCGTGCAATTTGATGACAGCCTAGGAAACCCTATGGGGCACTTCTCTGTCACACGGGATCACTGTCAAAATCTACTTGGTGGCACACAGCAACCCTTAATATTTATATGCAAAATATAATTGCTTACAACACACATCAATGAACAGCTTGCTTCCCAGTCCACTGAACACCTTGAAAGAGTCCCATTTAAACCCGTTAGCACTCGGCCTGTTAGCCACTGCGGGGCAGAGGACAGGCCACTGAGGTGAGGCCGCCTGGGCTAGTCCCCTGGACTGACTCAGGAGACGGGCTGCCTATAGACGTCAGAGGGCCTCACCTGGCGTCACGTTCTCTCTGCGTGATTCTAAGACTCACCGCTCGCCCGCGTGAGGTTCGAAGGCCCAGGAAGTTTGCCAGAGACCCCAGCAAATGGGGGTGTCTCTGAGGGGCTTCAGATTTGGGAGGCTCATTTCCGGCCAGCTGGGTCTGAATTGGCTCCGAATCACAGCAAGCCCACAGGTGTCCAAGCAGAACTGAGCGCCGGGGGGCCTGCAGGGCTGGTTTTCCTGAAACAGTGTCAGGCCTATCCTCTGAGGCGTCTTGGGGTCACCTTAAACTTCCAGCCTTTGGTTAGCAGCTGGGTGGTTTACCTTTTGTACAACCCCCCCCCCAAAAGAAAAAAAAACCTGCCATGGAGTCAATTCCAACTCATAGCGACCCCTCCTTGGGTTTCTGAGGCAGTATCTCTATGGAAGTAGATTGCCCAACCTTCCTTCTGCGGAGTGGCTGGTGGGTTTGAACCGCCAACCTTCTGGTTAGCAGTCAAGTGCCTTAGGCATTATGCTACCAGAGCTCCTTTTACACAACCCAGGGACCCCTATGTTTGGGCAGGAACCCCCAAATGCCCACATACCTCTCTGGCTTGCTGCAGCAGGTCCCTTCTGATGCTACCCGCTAGAAGGGCCTGTCTGCCCAGTCAGGTGTGGCCCATGCTCCTGAGAAACCGGCTTCTGGTTGTATCTGGCTCTTGCCTGCCCTGGCGCGCCCGTCCTGGGGGGCACAGATCCACACTGGGGCCTTGGTCCCCAGGATCCAGGCTTGTAGTGAGCTGCTCTGACGTACAGCCCGGCAGCCGGTGTTGCCCCCAGCAAACGTGGCGGGTGGGGGCTCTGAGGCTTGACCTCCTGCCGGGCCCCGGGTCCTCTCCTCACCCACCCACCTGAGCATTCAAAGGAGGCTCGTGTCACGGACCTTCCGCCCACAGGCACTGGTAGCATTGAGATCCCAGTCCTCTGCCTGCTGGTCAATGGTGACCCCAGCACCCTGGAGGTAGGTGTGGGGAGGGAGGCGGGGAATAGGGCTGGAGGCTCTCGAAGGGGGTCCAGGGACAAGGGGGGAGGGGAGGGCACATCAGACAGGTGGGCCCAGGACGATGGCTGGGGCTCACTGCAGACTCTGCTCTCCCCCCTTCACCCCTCCCTCACCCTCTGCCTAACCCCCCCAGCGGATCTGCAGGGCCCTGTCGCATGGAGCCCCGTGGCTGATCCTGGCAGGCTCAGGGGGCATCGCTGACATCTTGGCGACACTGGTGAACCAGCCCCACCTCCTGGTGCCCCAGGTGGCCGAGAAGCAGTTTAAAGAGAAGTTCCCCGGCCAACACTTCCCCTGGGAGGCCATGGAGCACTGGACCAGGCTGGTGGGTTCGCTGAGGCTGACCCCTGCCCGTGCCTCCCGTCCGTACAGGACAGCCTGCCTCGTGCAGCCCAGGCCCCGGCTGTGTGGCCCTGGCTTTTCCTTCAGGCCCTCACGGAGTGATGGCCTTGGCCACCAGCCTCCCGGGGCCTTTGGCTCCCGGTCCTCAGCCCCTCCGGCCTGGAGCTCCCCGTCCTCCCGGCGAGCCCTTGGCTCCCTGCCTGGAGCCACACGCCTCTCCCGCCTCTGCTTGGCCCCAGCTCCAGACCATCGTCGCACACCAGCACCTGCTCACAGTGTTTGACTTCGAGCAGGAAGGCTCCGAGGAGCTGGACACGGTCATCCTGAAGGCGCTGGTGAAAGGTAAGGCCAGCAGGGTGGCCCCAGGGACACCACGGGGCTGCAGGGCACCCCTCGAGGGCACAAGGCCAGGCAGGAGCAGGGGGACGGGTGGCTCCCATCTGCCCCACCACTCGGGGCCCTCCACCCGGCATGGGGCCACTTTCCGTGTCCTGCCTGTTCCTGAAGGCCTGACCCCCAGATGCCCTGTGCCGGGGGTAGGGCCTGACACCTGTCTGGGCCAGCGTCACTGGCCTGCCATCCAGGACCGCCACACTGTGTGGCTGTGAGAGTATGTGTCAGTGGTTTTCAGTCCGTTTGCAAAACTGAGCCGTCACCACGATTGGCTTTCCCCAGAAAGCAACCTTGGACCCACGAGCAGTCACTCCATCTCCCCCGACAGCCCGAGCCCTGTTGTTGTCTGTGCCTGGAGTTGGCTTCAGCTCACAGTGGGCCCAGGTGCAACAGAGCGAAAGATGCTGGGTCCTGCCCCATCTCCACAGTCTTCGCTGTACTCGAGCGCGGCGCCACAGCCACTGCGGCGGTGCATCTCATTGAGGGTCCTCCCCTTTCCTGCTGAGCCGCTACTTTGCCAAACATAACATTCTTCTCCAGGGACCCAGTCCCTTCTGACATGAGCAAAGTAGATGAGACGGAGGCTGGCCATTCTCACTTCCATGGAGCCTGATGGCACCTCTCCCAGGACAGATGTGTTCGTTCTGGCCGTTCATGGTACTTTCCGCCTTCTCCGCAAACACCACAGCTCAAAGGCTTCGACTCTCCTTCGGTCTTCCCTATTCACTGTCCGGCTCTCACATGCCTAAGAGGCGACTGAAAATACCATGGCTTAGGTCAGGGGCACCTTAGTCTTCCAAGTGACATCTTTGCTCTTAAACACTTTAAAGAGGTTTTTGTTTTGTTTTGTTTTGTTTTGTTTTGCAGTGGATTTGCCTAGTGCAACATGTTGTCTGATTTCTTGACTGTTGCTTCCATAGGCGTTGATTGTGGATCCAAGTAAAATGAAATCCCTGATAACTTCAATCTTTTCTCCATTTATCACGATGTGGACCATTTTTGTTTTCTTTGTGTTGAGGTGTGATCCACACTAAAGGCAGAAGTCTCTGATTTTCAACAGTAAGTGCTTCAAGTCATGTTCACTTTCAGCAAGCAAAGTTGTGTCATCTGCATATCACAGGTTGTTAATTAGTCTTCCCCCAATCCTGATGCCATGTTCTTCTTCATGTAGTCCAGTTCTTTAGATTATTTGCTCAGCATACAGATTGGATAAGTATGGTGAAAGGATACAACCCTGACACACTCCCTTCCTGATTTTTTTTTCCGTTTTCATAATTATATATATATATATATATATATAAAGATATATATATATATTTTAACATTGTGATTTGGGTGAAAATTTACAGAGCAAATTCATTTTCCACACAGCAGTTCATACAGATTTTGTTTTATGACATTGACTGCTACCCCCACAGTGTAACAGCTCTTTCTCTGCTCCCTCCCTGTGGTTACCTTTTCCCTGTGTCCTTCTTTCCTGCGCATTCCTGCCCCTGGGCTATTTCCCTGGGCAGAAGCTGCCCTTCTGTTGCTTGTTTAAGAAGTGAAACTGGCTGGTATAAATGTTCACTTTATAGGCCTGCTTCTTGTTTGGCTGGAAGCCACAGGAATAAGTTCAATTCCAAATCTGAAGGGTCACTAGGGGCCATAGTCTCAGGGGTCTTACCAGTCTCTATCAGACTAGTAAGTCTGGTCTATTTTACGGTTTTGAGTTTTTTTCCACATTGATCTCCCACTCTATCCAGAATCTCCTGCACTGATCCCTTTCCAAATGGTTGACAGTGGTAGCTGGGCACCATCTAGTTCTTCTGATCTCAGGTCATGGAGGCTGAGGTTCGCATGGCCCACCAGTCCCTTGGACTAATTGTTTCCATGTGTCTTTGGTTTTCTCCATTCTTCTTTGCTCTGGACAAAGAGAGACCCATTGTTGCATCTAGATGGCTGCTTGCAAGTTTTTAAGACCCAGTCGCTACTCGCCAAAGTAGAATGTAGAACATTTTTATGTAGTTTTTCCCAGTTGAACTGGATGTCCCCCGAGACCATGGTCCTGAGCCCGTGGGCCCAGGGACTCACTCCCTCAGGGTGTTTGGCTGTGGCTAAAAAATTAACTTTGCCCCATTAGTTTTATTATATATACGGACATTTTTATAGCATGTACAAATATGTATGTAGAAATATCATCTGCAAAACTTATATACGGTCATGTGTATACTTTTTTTCGCCTACCTGCACCTGATCATTCAGCCTGTCTACTTGTGTATCCATCTGTAGATTGATGTTTATTATTGCTGATAATGTGTAGAAGTGTTTACCTTTGTTGTCTATACTGTCCCTGATTTTAAAGCACCAGGGTCCCCCTGTTCCATTCGAATGACAGCCTCCTGGTCTATGTACAGGTTCCTCATGAGCACAATCAAGTGTCCTGGAATTCCCATTCTTCTCAATGTTATCCATAATTTGTTATGATCCACACAATCAAATGCTTCTGCATAGTCAATAAAACATAGGTAAACAACTTTCTGGTATTCTTTGCTTTGAGCCAAGATCTATCTGACATCAGCAATGATAACCCTCATTCCATGTCCTCTTCTGAATCCAGCTTGCATTTCTGGAAATTCTCTGTAAATATACTGTTGCAACCATTTTTGAATTTTCTTCAGCAAAATTTTACTTGCATATGGTATCAATGATAATGTTTGATAATTTCCACATTCTGTGAGATCACCTTTCTTTGGAATAGGTACAAGTATGGATCTCTTCAAGCCAGTTGGCCAGGTAGCTGTCTTCCAAATCTCTTGGCATAGCTAAGCGCCTCCAGCGCAGCATCTGTTTGTTGAAACATCTCAATGGGATTCCGTCAATTCCTGGAGCCTTGTTTTTGCCAATTCCTTCAGTGCAGCTTGGACTTCTTCCTTCAATACCATCAGTTCTTGATCATATGCCACCTCCTGAAATGGATGAACATCGACTACTTCTTCTTGGTACAGTGACTCTGTGTATTCCTTCCATCTTCTTTTGATGTTTCCTGCATCATTCAAGGGTTTGCCCATAGAATCCTTCAGTATTGCAACTCGAGGCTTGAATTTTTTCTTCAGTGTTTTCAGCTTGAGAAATGCCGAGCGTGTTCTTCCCTTTTGATTTTCCAATACTGGGTCTTTGCACATTTTCTTATAATACTTTACTTTGTCCTCTTGATCTGCCCTTTGAAATCTGCTGTTCAGTTCTTTTACTTCATCATTCCTTCCTCATTTCTCCCAAGCCTTGTTGTTGTGGTTAGGTGCCGTCAAGTCAGCTCCGACTCATAGCGACCCCATCTACGATAGAACGAGGCCCTGCCCAGTCCTGCATCATCCTCACAATCTCTACTGTGCTAGAGCCCATCACCACAACCCTGTGTCAATCCGTCTTGTTGAGGGTCTTGCCTGCTTTTGCTGACCCTCCACTTCACCAACCACGACATCCTTCTCCAGAGACCCTGCCCCTTCTGACAACATGACCAAAATAGGTGAGACGAAGTCTGGCCATTCTTGCTTCCAAGGAGAATCCTGGCTGCACTTCCTCCAGGACAGATGTGTTTGTTCTGCTGGCAGTCCATGGTATGTTCGCTATTCTTTGCCAGCACCACGATTCAAATGCATCAACTCTTCTTCAGTCTTTCTTATTCATTGTCCAGCTTTCACATGTGTATCGAGGCTACTGAAATTACCGTGGTGTGGGTCAGGTGCTCCTTAGTCTTCAAAGTGACATCTCTGCTCTTCAACACTTTACAGAGGTCTTTGCAGCACATCTGCCCAACGCAGTACATCATCTGATTTCCTGACTGCTGCTTCCATGGCTGTTGATTGTGGCTCCAAGTAAAATCCATGACAACTTCACTCTTCTCTGTGATGTTGCTTCTTGGTCCAGTTGGAAGGACTTTTGTTTTACGTGGAGGTGGGAGTCCAGACTGCAGGCTGGAGCACCAAGCCCTAGGCAACCCTCATCCACCTTCTGTGTCTGTGGATGTCACTCGTGAACAGGATCACACACTATGTGGTGTCTCTGTGTGTATGTCACTCAGTGGCATGTGTTCACGGTGCATCCCTGTGGTATGTACCAGACCTTCATTCCTTTCCATGGCTATACGGTGCCCCATTGTTTGAATGGACCACAGTTTGTGTATGCGGCCACCCACTGATAGACACTGAGGCGGTGGCCTCTCTGGCTAGGATGTCGTGGGCTTTTTACTGAAGGCGAACATGTAGCTGGGGCTGACCACAGGTAGCTGGCACGGGTCCTACCATGGGAGGCACTGCTGGTTGGGGCCACACTGTGTCAGGGGAGGCCCCTCTGTTGGGCTGTCAGGCTCCCCTGTCAGGGGTCTGGGTGTCACGGCCACTGCTCCCCAGACAATAAAATAGAGCTGAGGTCAAGCCACACAAGTCCCATTGGTCTTCATAGCCATGTGAGAAGGAACCGTGACACCTGGGCACAGTCATCTACACTAAGGCCCCATGAGGTCACTACGGCTGGGTCTGGGGGCATAGTGGGTCCCATAGCACCAAGCCCCAGGCACTGCAGTGGCCTCACCCAAGTGGGGACCTACCAGGTCAAGAGATGGCAAAGAGAAGGGGGTCTCAGACTACCAGTGTGCCAGGGAGGGGCCTGGCAGCCCACAGTGTTAACCAAACTCCCCACCTTCTTGCTGTTATCACAGAGGGCCCTGGGAGGTGGGAAGAGGCTTGGGGAGGGCACCCATTGCTGGGGAGTGGGAGAGTCCCCTGGTCCAACTCCATGCTGTATAGCCTGTCCCAGCAGGGGCACAAGGTGGTCTTTCCACCTGCATGTAAGTGCTCACTCCAGGACTTTGGGATATTTCTGCCCGAGCCTGTGCCTCTCACATTACTCAGGGCCTGCAAACCAGCCCCCGGTTCTCGGGCACAAGGCAGTGTTCGTACATCTGGGAGACCTGCCTTCAGGAAGCCTGTGTGCCCACAGTGCTGCAGGCCCCTGGGCCCACCCTCATGGCCCCGGCTGGTCCTCATGGCCCCTGCTGGCCCTTCTGGGCCCTGGGCCCACCCTCATGGCCCCCGCTGGCCCTCATGGACCCTGCTGGGCCTTCCAGCCCCTGGGCCCATCCTCACGGCCCCCGTCGGCCCCGCCCACAGCCTGCAGGAGCCACAGTCAGGAGGCCCAGCACTACCTGGATGAGCTCAAGCTGGCCGTGGCTTGGGGCCGTGTGGACATTGCCAGGAGTGAGCTCTTCAATGGGGACGTGGAGTGGAAGGTGCCCATCCCCCCACCCCAACTGACCAAGTGCTCTGGGTAACCCTCCACGCCCCACCTCTACCCCGTCCACCTGGTTGCTAGGCCGGCCCTGCCAGCTGCATCCTGAGACCCCATTTGCAGTCCACACAGTGCCCTCAGGGGCCAGCCGGGGCCCCAGTGCTGTTGGCTGCTCCCATGCTGGTCCTGGTGCCGTAAGCCAGCATGGCCAGTGTCAGGGCGGCCTGCAGCCTCATTCCTGCCAGCCTGGGCAGAGGCCCCCACACCCCCACCCTCTCTCCGCGTGTCCTCGCTGTCCCCACCCCGCCCCTCATGCCCGCCCCGCCCCGCCCAGTCCCGCGACTTGGAGGAGGTGCTGATGGACGCGCTGGTGAACGACAAGCCGGAGTTCGTGCGCCTCTTCGTGGACAGCGGTGCCAGCGTGGCCGACTTCCTGACCTACGGCCGGCTGCAGCAGCTCTACCGCGCCGCGGCCCCCAAGAGCCTGCTCTTCGGGCTGCTGCAGCGCAAGCATGAGGAGGGCCGCCTGACGCTGGCCGGTCCGGGCACCCAGCAGAGCCGCGAGCCCCCCACCGCGCCACCCGCCTTCTCCCTGCACGACGTCGCCCGCGTGCTCAAGGACCTCCTGCACGATGCCTGCCGAGGCCTGTACCAGGGCGGGCGCCCGGGGGGCCGCGGGCAGGCGGTGAGCGGCCGGGG